GCGCGCACACACACACACACACACGTGCCCTTGATGACAGGTTGACAGGCAGAGAAGGGGCAGGCAAACGTTTCCCCATTGCCTTATTTCCACACTTGGAAAAACACGCCTTGCGAAATGTTTGCCGGTCGTTTTGCGGCTGTCGAAACAACCAACTGGAGCAGGGTCCAGCCCTGCAGGCCATCCGAGTCAGGCCTTGCTGATTAGCAAGCGAAGATCCCGTCTGGCACCCTTCCCTCTCGAGTCCACACCCCTGGTGAGGCGAGAGCTGTGATTAAGACCCATCTGATCTGCTGTCTCTCGAACCAGTGGCAGGATGTTGCCTCTTTCAGTCCCAGCCAGCAGGAAAAAACCCCAGTGCATGCCCGCTGCTCCTCCGTGCCCTGCTGGTTCTGCCTTCTCCCTGAATCACTCCTGGGCATCCGCACTTCCGGCAAACAGGGCTTTTGAAAAGAGTGGAAAACTTGTCCGGCTGGTGCATTGGGGAAGGAAGCCAGCAGGTTGGAAGCACCGATGGACTGGGAACTCAGCTAGAATCTCTGCTTACTAGGTCTTTTTCAAGCAGTCTTCCACCATAAACTTTCCAGATGTTCCGGGACTACAATACCCAACAACCTGCACCAATGTAGCTAATGCTGAGAAGCAATGGGAGTTGTAGTTGAACAGCACCCAAACGTTTGCCACTGTTTTAGGGACCGTGAGTAGGTAGCGGGTAGGCAAGAATCTTATTCTGGATCCCCGGTACTGATTTCTAACTTTCCCTCCTTTAACCACAGCAAGTTCTTCATCATCCCCATCATCTCCTCGCCTTGTTTGCCTTGTGGACATCTCTGATCTCTGCAGTACTGTGCTAATTGCTTCTCTCTCGAGCCTCACCTTCTTCATCGGCGAAATACGATTCTCTGGCAGAATTTGGGAGCGCTACTTTTCTGGACCACCACAAGACTCTCCAGCTGGTAGATCAAGGATTCTAGAAGTCGTGGCCCATGAAGTAACTTTTCCAAACTTTGCTCTCTCCTTGCTTCTGACACCAGGTCTGTCCGCAGCTTGGCTCGGTCAGTTTTAGAATTTTGCGTGCGAAATCTGGTGCAATAACCCCTGATTTGTGCCATTGATTAAAATGCAGATTCGTACTTAGAAACGGAAGTCATCTCAGTATTCTGGGGTTTGAGGAGGAAGAGGAGGGAGTAATGTCCTTTGTCCTTGACTCCATCATTTGGAGTCTGATGGGCTATGCTTGGCAGGATACAACGATCCTAGTCAAAAACCTGAATGTAGATCTTTTGAGCCTGAAATCTGCCCCTTCTTTCTGTATAATTTGACTCTCCAGCCCTTCAGCTGATGTTTTGCTTTCGGTCCCTTCCAGCCATCACTCTTCCACAGTAACATACTCACCTCTGCTCGGTAGAGCTAAAGATTTCAAGAAAATACAATCAAATAAAGCTGACGGTCCAACTCTCAAAAGTCTGGCCACCTTTTCTTTAAGAGGGCCTCAGACACATTTCAGTTGCCGGGCTAGCTTCAGCTCGCTCCACACAGTATGCAGGCAACAATAACGCCGAACGACCTGCCTTATAAGGTTGTTGTACGATGTGCAATCAGTACGATGCACAGGAAAGCAGGCTTAGTGCTATAAAAGGACCAACTGCGTTATGGTGGTTGCTACATCCTCAGTATAAACCATCCTTTGGGATTAGCGGTGGGGACTCCGACTCAGAAAGCAGGGTGTTAAAATTAACATGGGACGTTGCCGTGCCTCTGACCTTATTCTGGTAGCTGTGGTGAGTAAGCTTCATCCAAGCCAGCGATTCCCTCTCCTCTGCCCCACATATCTGCTCCACCCCCTTTAATCCTGTCCTAGAGGCAATGTCCCCAGCTAGCATCCATGTTGCTCAGGATCACGGGACCGGGCACCGTACAGCCTTGATTGGATTTTGAATCGCTCTCTCCAGCGAGATCAGTTCCTCTCCCCTGATCCGTTGCCCATCGTTCTTTCCGCTGCTGCACAGATCCGAGATGCACCGAGAGCGATGCTCGGGATGATGACACCAGAAAGAAAATCCCCTGTGGGTTTTCTAATCCCCCCCACCCCGTTAACAGAGCAGGCGTGCATCCCTGGAGCATCTTTAAAGGGGGGGGGGAAAGAAGGTATAGGTTTCGCCACCCAATTCAGCTGCTACAGTTTGCAACCGGACAGGGCCATGTGATTTCAAAGTTTAACCACAAGGGAAGGGAAGCAAAATGGAAGTAAGCTAGGTGGAGCTTCTCTAATTCAATATTTATTATTTATTTTGTTTATTTAAAACAGCTTTATCCCGGCTTTCTCCTTTAAAAGGACCCGAGGCGGTTTGCATCATTAAAAGACCATCTTCGAAGCTAACCACACAAGCATACAAATATTAAAAAGGCACAGATGAGTACAACTCTAAGCAATAGAAAAACAAAAGCAATATACAATTCAAATCCATGAAACTGTCGTATAATTAATGTGGGAGAAAAATGTAAAATGCCTTCTACATTTAAAACACTGTAGCATCGCATCATAGTGTTGTTATGTGCTATCCAGTCTCATCAGGCTTATTGAGACTCACAAGGTGTGTGACATATTTAAGGAGTGGTTTTACCTCTGGAACTACCACGCCCTGTAAGTTTTAATGGCCAGGTAAGGATTTGAATCCGGCCTCCTGAGTCCTAGCTATCTGTCTTTCCAGTACATAGTAACATGAACATAATGATGAATGCTATTAACATTGTAATAGTACATACACTGATTTTTCTCATTTCTAGCTGAAGGCCAGAGCATGTGTCAATGCCCAGATGTTGTATATTGATCTTTTTTTTCAAAAAAGAAAAATATAATTTAGTACCTAAATGCTCTGAAATCAATACAGACACTTTACTTGTTGGCAGTTAAGCCAAAAAGAGAGAGGCTAACTCTGTGCATGTTTAGAGGCACATGGCTGGAGCATGAAATGTGTTAGGCCAGAAGTAGCACAGAAAGGAAATGAAAGGAAGGGAATCTAATGCCTGCAAACCCTTGATGTCATGATGAGTCAAGATCTTATGAGCAGGCAGAGTGCTAAGGTTGCTATGCTGGAACTTGGCAGGTCCGAGTTCCGATCTTCACACACTGAACCATGAAATTCACACTGGCCAGTCTTGGGCCCGTCCTTCTCAGCCAGACCTGCTCTGCAGGGTTATCGCGATGATAAAAAGGAGAGAGCAGGAGAGTCACACGGCCTCCCTCCATCTCCATAGAGGAGAGACAAGAAGCCAAGGCCTTCATGCCTGATTTAATCCAATACAGGTATTTTAATATAAGTATCTTCATCAATGTTTTGCTTATTTAGCGCAAACACCTTCATTGAGTCAACAATGCAAATCCTTTCATGTTTTCCTCATTTAGTCTACCCGCCTTGATTTATTTGATGCAAATGTCTTTATTTGTTTCCCTCACAGAGTGTGGTGCCTTGGTCTGTTTCCTATAAATGCTTTTATTCGTTTCATTTATTGAATGCAAACGTTTCTACTGTACTTTTCTTTTTTATTTCATGCAAATGTCTTTGTTTCACTCACCCAGGGCGGTGCCTTGATTTATTTAATGCAAATGCCTTGATTGGTTTCCAGAATGCAAATGTTTTCATTTCTATTTCATGCAAAAAAACACCACACCTTTATTTATGCACCACTCACTCGAATGCGTGGGCCTCGATCCGTTTAACGTAGACGCCTTGATTTGTTGCCTTTCTTGAATGCAAGTGTTTCTATTTTTATTGATGTAGTTACATTCTGAGCCCCACCTTCCAAGGTCGCCCGGGCAGCTTCGCTTTTCCCCTCTCCCTCCTCCTTTTGCCGCACGACAGCCCTGCAAGGTTGGTCTGCGCTGCAAACGACTGGCAGAAAGTCCACTCTGAGTCTCCTGTTTTAAAAGGGGGGGTGTCTTGAAAGCAAGAGCCCCCCCTCCCCATCAGGCCTGCAAATCTCATTTTCCCCCACCCACCTACCCACCAAGTCCTTTAAACCCGATCCGACCTCCCCCCAAGTCCACCACCCCGTCCTCCCCTTCCCTTGCGCTCCGTGAGTCACTCGCTCAGCTGCCAGGCGAAAGAATCCAACTTTCCCGACACAGTCTGGACCTGTCTATGGACGCGACCAAAAGGAGCCCAGAAAAAGGGGGGAGTTTTAGGGGATCAACTTTCGCCCCTCGCCCCCACTCTCCTCTCGAAGCCTCGTCATCCAGAGGACCTTCTCAATTGCAACCCCCCCTTTTCACGCCCAAGGAGAGGATGAGAGAGAAACAAACCCGG